AATTTAACTGAGCAGCCTGTTTTTCTTTTTTTCCCCAGCTAAATCTGGCAACTCTATTAACAACCCAAAGTTCAGATAAATGGGCTAATAAATTAGCTAATGCCCATAAAGCAAGAAGAAAATAAATATAGCATCATCTGAACTAAATAAAGTATCTTAAGCGGCAGAGTATAGAAAATGGAAAGAACATGGATCTTAGAATCAGGTAAATCTGAGATCCAGTTCACTCCTCTACCCATTTATTTATGACTGACTGACCTGGAACAAATAACTACACTTCCTCTAACCTTACTGTCCTCACCTGGTAAATGGGATTTAAATTTACCACTTCTCAGGGTTGCAGGACAGATTCCATGAAGTAACACACACCAAACACACCCTGAGGCAGGACGGGCAATGAATGTCTTAGTATCTTAGCTCCAGAAACGCAAATTTCCCATCACAGTAGCCAAAACGAAAGAACTCGCTTTATCCCACAATAACTAAACAGAAAAATATACTCCCCAAAGGCAGGTTCCTTTGGCAGCCTGAGTTCTGTCCCCACTGCCTTTCACCTACATGTGCGGTACTCAACCATGGCTGGCCAGAACTGGTTTCTTCTGACTGTGCTTAACAGTATTTGAACAGAAAAGCTGTGAAATAACATTACACTGTGATGTCCTCACATGTTTTTGTTCTTTTTCACAAACTTTTTAAGAATAAGGATACATAAACAAATTCATTTCAAATTACCATATAATACTAAGTGCAAAAATCTGTTCTCTTAATTTTCAAAAAAAAAAGGCTGAAAATCCTAATCACTCAATCGAGTCAATAAAAATTCTGCAGAAGAACTGCAAATGCATGAAAGAAAATTATTTTCCATTGTGACTCTTGGGCCTAGGTCTTCCTTCTGTTTTGGAGTCATACCACACGGGGGATTATTTTCTAACACTCATTTTACAAATTGCTTAACTAACAATATGCTGTCCAATTTTTCATTTAGTATACCTTATCTTCTCTCTACACACTGTGATTTCTTTGAAGGAAAATTAACTAAATATTTCAGCAGTTTAACTAGTGGGAAGCAAAGAATTAATATCATAGATACAAAGGTGCTGTAACTGTGTTTTAATCAGCTTATTAAATACAACATGAACATGTATCAATCAACTAACATTTAATTTCATGGTCTGTGATTCAAAACTTTTCAAAAGCATAACGGTACAAAATTATCAGTATTTACTTAACAATTCCTTTCTAACTTTGTTTTATCTCATATAAACCATGTAAAATATTATATGATAATTGTTACATGTCCTTATGGACTGGAAGAAGACATAATTAGGAATTTTATTTGATCCCAAAAGAAAAATACCTCCACATATAAAAATACAACAACATAATTTTTTAATTAAGTACAGTGACTAAATATAGGAATCTTCTAAACTCTATCCCCAACAGACAACACTTCACTGATAGACTACTGAGCTAAAGCTTGTTTTAAATTGTTGCGCAGAAAATGGAAACAAATCTCTATACATTTCATTTAGAAAGTAAACTGCCTTAATTGCACATTCATTTAGGAGTATTATACAAAGATTTCCCATCAGAGTCACACTTTGACTTGGAATGTATGTGTACATACTTTTCTCTACTGAAAGAGTGGTTTTTCATTATCTGAGTGATTCAGTTTTTCACAGAATAATTTAGTTTATCTAAATTCTACTCTTGTTAAGGAGCAGTGAAAATTATTAAGGAAAGTCAGGTTCTTCTCTAGCATTTTGCTTGATAGCAAAAATTACTTTAGCTTTAAAAGGTCTGTTTCTGACCATTATTTTTGTCTCAAGTGGAGAAGGGCCTGAGGGTAAGGGTCATTAACATCTTTCACCAAGACAAAAAGATTCAACTGTGGTTGCTAGGATACCAACAGACAGATTCACTTATTACAGTCAGGAACAGTTATTCATAATGTCTTCTCACAAAACAACATACTAACTGCAACAGGAAGGAAGCTTAATGCAAACAAAGTCTAAAGGGCAGAGGCAGTCCCTACCCTTTAAGAGCTTAATATTGTCTGTTACTGGTATTTAAAAGTACATTTTAAATAAGCTATTTTTTAAAGGAATGGAAATAAGTAGACAGCAGGAAGAAGTAAAGGAGGGAAGTTAAATGTATAGGCCAACGAATAAGTCAACTGTTTCATCTGAGTCTGCAGAGTCACATTCCTTTGTTCACTAACTTATTTAACTGAATGAGTCTGTGCTATGTGCTGATTACTGTTCTAGGCATTAACCCCAGTGGTTAATAAGACAAAGTTTGAGCCCTCATTGAGCTTACACTCCAGGAAGGTGACCAAGCAGAAGTTAATATTTGTGCCTATAGGCAAGCATGAATGCATGTGTGTGTGTGTGTGTACACAGTGTGAAAAGGGCACGGAGGCAGGTCAGTGAAGGCCTTACATATATTTAGCGATTACTACATGCCAAGTGCTGGGCTAGGCAATGAGGACAGAGTGTAACAAGAGACACATGTTTTCTGACACTGAAGTTTATCTGGGTGGGAGATCCAGATAAACTAACAGGGAAGTATTCTGGTGCCACATACTGCCTGTGTAACCTTGGCAAGTTGGTAACACCTTCATCATGAATAGTGGCACTAACCTTCAAAAGTTATTGTGAACATTAGATGTTTATAAAACGTTTGGCACATTGCCTGGTAAATTACAAATTTTATTATTTCAGTTAAGAGCCCACGTTATAGAATAACAAGAAATGAGATTGATGGAAATTGAGGATGGCAGAAAAGAGGAAAGGATAATAAAGGTCTGTAAACAATCCAAAGGGGAGGAGAGTTGGGTTTGCATTAGAAGCTCTTTGTAAAACACACCCGCTAAGTGTATTTATAAGCCTACAAGGAATAGTATACAATGGAATCACATCACATACCCAATTAAGTGACAAGAGTTAAACGATACATGACTGGCAGAGAAAAGAGGAGGAGAGAACAATTTAAATAATAAAAGTGGCTCTGCCACTATCTCACTCAATGAGGGACTATTTCAGAGTAAATGAGATTTACAGAAAAAAAATCTGCAGTCCTACAGGCAAGTCTCAGATCCCACATGTGAAGCGTGAGCACCTCACCTCACTGAGTGAGTCCAGATATAAACAAAGACTGTGTTTTTTCATGTGTCCCCTAAATGCAAATGTACTATTTAATCTGGTGCTCAAGTGGATAAATAGCAAAAGGAATTTTTATTAGATGTGATTTTCATCACCTTTTGTACTTACTTTATAACTAATTCTTGTCCACTATACGACCTCTGTTTTATAGATACACAATTTTCTACATTTTATAGATAAATAAGCCCAAGGACACCAGAAGGTCTGCTTCATTCTGCCTGGCTCCAAATCTCTGTAGCCTTTATTCAGTGCCCAGGCAACCCTGAGTTTTGATTTGAAGGGAAAGGCTAAGATTAAGGAGGAAGATAATATAAAACATATAAGAGAAAAAGTTAATAAGACTAACAGGGATTTTTAGGAAAAGATAAAGACATTAAGACCAAAGACAAGGAAACCAAGTCAGAAGCTGATGTGTAGTAACTGCTCATCACAAATTTCCAGAACAATATTGATTTCACATATATTATACCTCTGTGCATACTAAATATTGAAGTATACTGGAAATTCAAACATTTCAGCATCCAAGCTCTATCTCCCAGACTATCTCTCACACCCAAAAGTAGGGTGCATGCGTACACACACACACACACACACAAAGCTTCACCAAATCATTTGTCCGGACATAAAGTAACAAGTTCTATTGTCTTAGAAACAGAAAGAAATACATAACAATAAACTAGTTGAAAAGAATATAAGTATGACAAAATTGAAAATTGGGAATAAAGAGAAAAACCTTCAAAGTAGTAAATGAATATGGTGCCTCTGATAGTAATAATGAAATTGAGAAAAATAACAAATAGAAGCAAAAGTAAGTCATTCAAAAGACGTCTTTGGAAGTATATTCCAAAAACAAAAATCCTGCAGCTTAATTCACTGGGCATTTACTCAGTGCCTGTGTCCTCACACTAACAGAGATAAACATCGAATCATATTTCCCATCATCATTTTAGCAACTTCCGTTTACCTTGGGGGGAAAATCTCTGGCCCCAGTAAATAACAAAAGTTGTCATATGAAAGAATAATAACATTAATGATAATGATAGCAGTTACTCTAGGGCTGTGTAACATACCTTTAACATTTTACCCTATGAAGTAAGTACTTTAGCCTGATTCCACCTAGGAAAAAACTTACTCTCATGTTAAGAAGCTGGCCTAAAGTTGTTTAACACTGTTGGGATTGGGACTCACTCTCATGTCTGCTTAACATCAAGGCTCTTAACCACTTTATACTGTTTCTACATTTTAAAGATACAAACTTTCCCATGAGCACTCTGCATTTTCTAACATGGAGTTTATGGACGTGAAATAATTCTCCTACAAAATACGTAAGAAGTAACTAAAATGTACTATCAGTGCCTTAAATACATGTAACTTTTCATCTCCCAAAGCTAAGACCTTCTTTTTTTTTTTTGCGGTACACGGGCCTCTCACTGTTGCGGCCTCTCCCGTTGCGGAGCACAGGCTCCAGATGCGCAGGCCCAGCGGCCATGGCTCACAGGCCCAGCCGCTCCGTGGCATGTGGGATCTTCCCGGACCGGGGCACGAACCCATGTCCCCTGCATCGGCAGGCGGACTCTCAACCACTGCTCCACCAGGGAAGCCCACTAAGACCTTCTTGTGTTTATTCCTATTTCATACTATACAAGTATTATCCTTGAATGGCTCATAAACTGATAAAATGAGAACACAACTACATATAAAATAAATATGTTATTGTTAAAAGTCAGAGAATAACGTCTCAAATATATGAGAAGTGGGTTATACCAGATTCTCATTAAAATACTCTGGGCCTACAAGGGCTTATTAACCTCTAGATTTTTGAAGTACTAATTTTACCTGGGTCATTATGGGAATGAGGCACCACAAAGACTTGAAGGGGCTTAGTATCCCATTCATCAGCTTTATAAGTAATGTCAAATCCTTGCTTCCAAACTCCACCATCCGGATTGTCAAAAGGAATTAGACTGTAAACATCTAACATCTAAAAATATGAGACAAAAAAAAAAAGTTAAATTTAATCATGTATAACCATTATTAATTTAAACTTAATGTTGGAAATATTTGCTCAAAACTACTCCTTGCTATACCGTATATATATTTTAAAAGATAAAACTATTTCTGTAGACATTATCTAAAGAGTTTAAGACAGAAAATATTTAATCACCATTCAAAGGGTTAAAATGCTATTTGTATTATATAATTAACCTGATAAATAATCCCCTTCCTCTTCTGCTTCTAATATAAAATATCTTCATTCAATTCTTCTTCCCTTGCTTTACTTCCAATACAATTTAATAGAAAATTATGGGAACTGAAGAGTAAACAAAAAAAAATTTCATCATGATCAAGTATTTTAGCATTTTCAAACACGGTACTGAAAATTATTTTATACTTCGTCTTTATATTATAATCAATCTCCTATGTATCTGAATCTGAATGGAAATGGATCTGTAGCTATTCTTTAATTTTGCCTATGTATGTTTACCTTTTTTATTCTAAAAATAAAACTGTAACAGGGTCAACTAGGTTTAAAAATGGAAGCATTTTTTACATTGAGATTTAGCTTTTTCTAAGTTCTAAGTCTTAGTTTTCTAAGTTTTCTAAATTTCCAATGTAGTGTTCCTTCTAGATAATAATCTTTTTAGACAAAAAGGAAAAAAATATTACCAAAAAACAAAGCCAAACAAACCTAAAAGCTTATTTTTCATACTCTTTATAATAGTAAGTGTAACAAGTAACACAAACCTCCTTTGGTAAAATTCAAACTAAAAAATTACATCCTAATAAATACATAAATGAGTTACAAATTTTTTTAAGATAAGCAAGTCATATAAAAGTGAATTCAAGGTATTTGAAGACAATAATATATCTTTCACTTGGAAGTTTATAACTAAAATAAAATACTCCCAAGGATGAGAACAAATCTTTGGGAACCAGCTGGATAAGAGGATGTGAGAGCACTCTCTGCTATTCCTTCCAGGTCTTTCTGGGGCCCTGCAGCTTTCCCAGTACCCTGCTGCCTTGCTCTGCCTCATTTCCATGGCTGCTCTGCAGCTCCTTTCTGTCCAGCTCAGATTTAGACCCTTCCCCTCCCCCGCAAAAAAGATTTTATCATTTCCCTTTAAAAGGTACTTAATTAAAACCTAAACAAAGCCAAGCCTCACAGAAATAGATACCCCTTCAAAGCACAGGATCGTGATCCTATCTGAACCTGGCCACACACTAGGCTGATGAGGCTGTTGGCACGCAGCCCGGGCAGCTCCACTGTCCCCAGCTTCCGGCGTGGCCTGTGAGCCATGGCCTCGAGATCATATCATGTTCTCTGTCCCCAAGAGTTAATGAAAACTTCTACTCTGAAGCAAGGCCAGGGCCAACTCCTTTTGTCCAACTTTAAAATATTCACACCCCAGGGTCCTGTCACCAAGTTCCACTTTCCAGTCTAAGGTACAAAGGTAAAATAGCTCTTTGCCAATCTGTAGAACAGAGCAAACATGAGTGACACACCGAAAGTTTAAGAAAGGCAGAAGTCCTTTCTTACCTTAGTTTTCAACTCCCCTACCCTCTAGAACAGTGCTATCCGAGGGAAATATTATGCAAGCCAAATACGTAATTTAAAATTTTCTAGTAAAATGAAATAGGTAAAATTAATTTTGATGATATATTTTTTAACCTGATATATTTGAAATTTTACCATCCCAACATGTAATGAATGAGCAAGATATTTTACATTCTTTTTTTCACATTAACTCTTCAACACTTCGTGTGGATATTAGTGCACATCTTAACTCAAATTAGCCACACTTGAAGTGCTCATTAACCGCAGGTGGACAGCAGCCTCCATCCTGGACAGCACAGCTTTAGAACATTTCCCTTCCCTCTCACAAAGGCATATTCAGTAAGAAGAATCTAACCTTACACTGTGTGAAACCTATAATGTAGAACAGATATATACTAAGAGTAGGGCTTTTCTGGTACTCTCCAAAGGAAGGTAAAAAAAATCTCTTTGGCCAGATTTAAACCTCTGAAGGTCTTCAACTATTACAGAAAATAAGACCTAAGAAGCATACAGAAAAGGCCATAGTCAGGAAGTATAAAATAAGAAAAATTAGGAGAAACACAGAATTATAGAAATTTGTCACTAAAAAGAACATTAATGATCATTTGACTAATCAAATGATTCTACAAAAATAGAAACGATAATCCAGAGAATTCAGCAACTAAGAACAGATACCAGATCAAATCTAAAAAAACAAAAACAAATCAAAGCCCAGTGATTATTAACGAATGCATACATTACCTGCACATCTGAACTCTGACTTCCACTTTGTGAAGCAAACAGACAGTCTCCAGGGTCAACTGTGAGAGACAACTGTTTCGATGGCAGAAGAGGTGAGCCGGCACCTTGGCTGAAATTGCCTTTTGAGCTTTTCGAACCATCCTCCACAGACTCACTCAAATTGATGACTGAGTCTCTAATATTTGAGATGATCTCATTATTCTCAGCTAGCAAACGTTCCAAATGGTCTATTTTTTCTTGCAACATTGAGAGCTGGCCCTACAATAAAAAAGAAAAAGACAGCTATATGAAACTCTAATATAGCTCTGCTGAGACGCACAACATATTTTTTTAAGCTATGTGCCTGGCCAAGAGGGCAGCTACTCTCCCTTCACTATCCACTTTTATAAGTTGGATCACATAATGCATGAACGCATAAGAGCTTGCTGTTAAAACACCAATTTACAGCAGAAAATCTTCTCCATGGCTGCAATCTTTGTTTAGCCATATTTTAAAATGTGCAACAGAAAGACCAAAAATATTGGGGGCTATATTTCCTATTACCCCAAACCCAGCCCTAAAAGATCTTCAGGTCTCTAAAATCACTAAGTATAACACCATATTATACTCAGCTATGAAATTTTAAATTTAACTATAATTGGTTCCAGTTACTTATAAGAGCAAAAATGTATGAACCTAAACAAGATCATTCCATTTCAATCAGTAACACTAGTGAACAATCCTAAAGAACTATCATCAATAGAAAAATCAACTAGTCAACTCTTAATTAGCTATATTATAAAAAAGATTGGCATGAACCTTCCCCAAGCAACTGCACTGTAAGTCATTTAGATTGCTTCTACTATACTACTGTGTATCTTTCGGTTTTTTTTAATTGATCCTCACATGTAGAGGCTTGCCACCTCTAAACATAAACCATGCTATATAGAATAAACCTTCAACTTATGAGAGCAATGACAATCTTTGTCTTGTTCACTCCTATATCTTGGGTCCCAAATACATAGTATTTATATGTTTATCACATGGCCCTCACATTTCTTCAACTCAACAATAATTCTTTAGTGAACACCCACTGTACAGGCATAAGGCTACATGCTGGAAAGACAGATGTGCATTAGTATGGGTCCCTGTCTGAATACACAAGGTGACATTGCATTTGTGCCACAGCAATAGCAATAGCCTGCGCTATGACACCAAAAATGTCCACATTAAGGTTTAATAAAATACATGCATAGAAAATAAACAAATCCGTACACCCAGAAACAAAAATTTTCTCACCAGTAAATAACAGGAAGACAGAAAGGGGGAAGGAAAAGAAGAAGAAAAAACACCTACATGTCCCAAAGTGAAGAACTGGTCAAGTGATACATCTAATATCATGAAACAGTTTTCAGTCGCTAAAAAGTTAGAAATACAAATTTTTTAAAAAAAGAAATATTGGGAAGTTACTTTCAGGAGATACAGTGAAGAAAACCCAGTTTTAAAATAGTGTGTATGAAAAACGTAGCATGTATGACATGATTGATCCTCTTTTGATAAAAAAATACATAAGGAAGGCCATAGTCAAGATGGAAAAAACTGGTTAAGGGTATTTTTACTCTTCTTTAGTCTGTTATGAGTTTTTGTATTGGGGAGTATTTGTATTGGGGATTTTGTAATGGGGAGGCCAAGAATAAGAAAGATTCAAGTTCCAAGTATTGGCCAGTTCAGCAAGGGGTGGGGAGAAATCAAAAGAGTGCTATCTACCAAGAGAAGACCACTTCAGCAAACTGTGAGAGAGGTGACAGAAGTCTGAAGGGACTAAGGGAGATACTTTGGAATAAGAAAAAAAGTACAGTAAGTCCCCTACATACGAATGAGTTCCATTCCAAGAGTGCGTCTGTAAGTCCAATTTGTTTGTAAGTCCAACAAAGTTAGCCTAGGTACCCAGCTAACACAATCTGCTATATATTGATAGCACTGTACTGTAGTAAGTTTATAATACATTCGCATCTTTGAAACTTCGCAGCTTGAAGGTTCATATGTAGGGGACTTACTATAGCCAAGATGAGAAGCAATCCAGCAGGAAGGTACCTTGAGGGTGAGTGGGAGAGACAACACTGGAGATGAATACCCAAAGCCTAGACGTTGAAGAAACAAAGAGCACAAGATGGCCATGGACCTCCTCAGACCTGAAAGATGCTCTCACAGGCCTCTCTACTTAGACACATATGATAGAAAGAGCCCCCTACAGGTCAGAACTGTAGTCCTTTAAGGCAACTCTCACCTCTAGGGTGGGATGCCATGTCCTACAAGGGAGAACTCAAGCCTGTTCATCAATGTATAGAGAAGCAGAAAGTGCAAGGTCTTAGCAAAGAACTCATCCTGCAAGACAAGCCTCACTTCCCCCCATGAAAAGCAAGTGAGAGAATATGGATCAGTCCTTGACTAGAAATGGCAAAGCAAAGGAAACCTGATGCATCACTGACACACTAGTTCAGGGTCCAAAGAAGCTAGTTGAACGATGGAGGTTGCCGGTCAGCAATTGAGCAATATTACACTACAAATCTTTCTCTATAGGCACACATCCATATTGGTCGATTGGCTCTTGTGGAAAGACCAAAGGGGGCCCCTTGGCCTAACCCAAAGTTCACCCAAAGAAGCTAAAAATAAAATTTGAGAGTTAGGTACACAGCTGACTAATCTGTATTTAATTTCCTAAACAGACATGCTATCAAAGGCTGTCTGAAATAAGGGAAAAACTTTTCTTCACTCATTATCACAACACCCCAGACTGAGGCTTTTTGAAATCACTACTGATGAGTTTCATTGAATATTTCCAATACTGAAGATACAAGCCTACTTCATGTGATGCTTGCAATTTCTACCGCAGCAGGTAACAACAGTAAATCAAGTTCCTCTGAATCCAAGCAGAATTAGAACGTGTTGCCTTGTCTTGCCTGCAGTAAAGCTACACACCTCCATAAAATAAAACCTTAGCTTAGTCTAAAATACCACCATCGCAGAGCTTTTAAAGATGCTACGTGTTTTATCAGACGCTTATAATGTATAAATTAATTCATGGGTGCCCATGTTTCTCCAGATCTTTCTGTACTTTCGGGAAAAGATAATTTTGGAGCCATGCACATAGCAAAGCCACCTATAGCTTAAAAGAACACACTGAGAAAAAAGAGCCTCCTTTTGCGAATATTCTCACTATGGCCCCAGTCCCAAAACCCATGGATGAGAGTATTATACAAAATAAACATTACAAGCGATGGATGTTCCATGAAAAAAGATCCTGCAGGCATTAAAGACGACTTTCAATCTCATTGTAGCTTTAAAGATACAATTAATGATCAGTACCTGGAATTCTGTACTGCATTAATAAGTTCATGGAGAAAATTGTGGCCTAGAGATATGTTAGCATAATGGTCTAATGAAAATCACTTTTTAAACTATATTATGCAGTGGAATAAAGTCTCGCTACAAACAGCTAAAATTCTTGAAATATACATACTTCCATAAGCAAATTCTGTACACACAACAGAGAAGTATGATATGACCTTAAAAAGATACACTTCTGGTCTGCATTAAAGTAACAGAAATCATAGATAATGTTTCAGTTATGCTGACAAGTCAAAGAATGCTGATGGTAATATTGAAAAAGACAATTTTCTGTAGGGCAAGAAAATCACTTGTGAGAAAACCACTTTATTCTTTGCTAATCAGTTCTACAGGGAGGCCACAGTGTTGCACTGCCAAGGAGTGGGGAAGGAGGTCATGATATTTGATTTACTCTGCTTCTGGCGAAAAAGAAAAACTGAGAAAAAAAAAAATCACTGATAGCAAAGACTTTTGAGAGAAAATTTAGAGCCTACTACAAGCAAACCAAGATCAGTACCCACACTGCCCTATGAACAAAATCAATCTATATACACCTAACTGCTAAATCCAAAAACTTATATAATTATTTGTCCCATATAAGACACTAGCTGCTGGGATTGGCATCACTGTAATCACTCAAGCAAGGCTGAATGTGCATATCATTCTTCCTTCCTGTTACAACTGAAAAAAATATGTGCTTCCCCGCCCCGCTTCAAAGACCAACACTCCACTGGTGAGCTCCAAACCCATCTCTCCCAATAGCTCAAAGGCTGTATTCTTTTGGTTAAACTCCCTCAACAGTGCTTCATCAAACTCGCCTTCTAAAAGCAACTCATCCTCAACAGTATAACATATTAGGTCAAATTATATGAAATTGCCATTCTCATAAGCCAAAAATAGTCCAATGTCACCAATTTCTTATGGTTCAACTTAATACTATATCCTATCTAATAAAATAAACTCTGGTGCCCTTAGCCCCACCATTCCCTTACTCATCATCTCGAGGAGCATTTGGCCCAATGGACCACTCCCTCCTCCCTGAAATATTTTCTTCACTTGCTCGCAGCACAGCATGCTCTTGGTTTTCCTCCTGCCAACTGTTTATCAGTCTCTCTCTCTCCCCAGTATCTAAACAATGGAGGCCCTCAAGGTTAGCTCCTGAGAAATCTGCCTTCTCTATACTGTCTTAAATGATCTCATCTACTTCTTGGTTTAAATTCCATTTTCTGTACTGATGTCTCTCATATTTATATCTCCAAATGAAACCTCTTCTCTGAAAAATAGACCCATATATCCAAATGATTACCTGACTTCTCCACTTCGGTTTCAAACTTAAGTCAGAAAGATTACTTTCCCCCAAAAGCCATCTTATAGGCCTCCAGTCTTTACTAAGTAGCTTCAATGTCTACCTTGTTGGCCACTCCTGAAATCCTCCTCACCCTGCTCACACATCCAACCCACCTGCAAGTTCATTCATCCTATCTCCAAAATATTTACTGAATACATCAACCTCTCTCCCTCTCAACTGCTACCACACTGGTCCAAGCCACCAACAATCTCTCCTAGCCTAGTATAGCAGCCCCTTAACAGATTTCCTGTATCCACATCCTTCAACCATGCCCTACTCAGCTGTAATACCTTTATTACAATCCGGTGCTAGTTTCTTATCACACTTAAAAAAAAATTTAAAACACCTCACACTAGACTCAATAAAGACCTGCATATCCATCTCCCCATGCTGCTCTCTTTCTCTCTCTCCTCCAACTTAGCTTCACCCTGATCTTATCTCAGTTCTAAACCTGCTCCTCTCCACCCCATCAAGACCTTGGTTCATGTTCTCTTTACAGAATGCTCCAGCTCCCTTCTGCTCTAAATGTCCCCTCTGCATAGTC